TTTTGTGAGGGTTTTCCTTCCTGCCCTTTTCTCTCTCCCTCTCTCTGTCTGTCTGTTTCTGAGACCCCCCCCCAGAAAAGGACTGAAAGGGTGGTGCCAGGAGGCCCCCATTCCCCATCCACCCACCTCAGGCGAAGGCTGAAGCTCCCCAATATTTTTGCAACCCACGTGAATGCTTGTCTCTCCGTCTTGGCCTTTTGGGGTGACTAAGCGCCCCAGAGGGTCAGGTCGGATGATGCAGAAACCGTAAGAAATTGCAAGATGGGTATGGGGGGGGGCTGTTTGCAACAAGACCCCTGGGGGGGGAGAGAGAGAATAAGAGAGAGAGAGAGATGACCATCCTTCTCCTAGCAAAAGGAACCGCTTGTTCCTCTTTCCTGGGTGCTCAGATTGTGAGTGTGTGGGGTGTGTGTGTGTGTGTGTGTTGGGTATATGTTGGGGATTAAATGTGTTGGAGCCATGGCCTTTCTCTTGGCCTGGAGGGTGACCCGAGACTTGCAAGCGGCCCCTCCCTCTCCCCCAGACCCCCAGTGCTAACAAAACCTCGCCCCAATAGGCGAAACAGGATCCACAAATCACGAGATTACGTGACTAAAAGCTAGAACTGTGTTTCAGAGAAGTTCTCCAAATACCTTTTTCCCCCCCGGGGCCAACAGCTCCGTTTTCTCTGGGCAGGATGAGTCCCCCTCAGGGTGCATCTCCTCCGAGACCTCAATAGGCTCCTTCTTCCAACTCTCCTCCAGGTGTGGGAAAGCATCCTGGAGGAAGCCCTCCTGCAGGGAAGAGAAAAAAAAAACTGCATGAGGAGGCCGCAGGCAGAAACGAGGTCACGGCCACCCTAGGCTTCCCCCCCACCTTATTGCGATCCCGTTTCACCGCAGCTCTGGTGTCAAGGATCCAGCCACCTTATTGCGATCCCGTTTCACCGCAGCCCTGGTGTCACTTTGCTTTTAGGAAGCTGTACGAAATGAGTTTCACAGCTCACAACTTCCGATTCAGAGGTCTTTTTGGATAGTTCATCAGAAGGGGAGTTTGGGGTTCCTTGGCACACCTGCCGAGGCACAGCAGCTTGGAAGGAATTGCGTACCAGAAGGAAATCCGCTGTCAGAATAGGGCAAATGGTTCCCTCTTAAGGGGTGATTTGACACTCTGCGACCCCAACAAGGGTGTCCAGAAAGACATCACCTCAAAAAGGGAGCGCGCATCGCTGGAAAGGCTGCTGAAAAAGAACGCCCTCCGGTATACAAGGGCACATTCTGGTCGGTCAGAGGCCACACAGGGCCTGCCTAAAACCCAGCCCGAGCAAACCACCTTCGCTGGGTCCGCACAGGGAGTCCGTCTTACACACACACACACACACACCCACGTCTTTCAAAGGCTACCAGGGAGGGAGGGGACCAACCTGGCCGCTGTCTTTACTGGCTTCCTCCTGCCTTCCTGGCTCCAGAGGGCACCTGGCCCTCGCCGTTATTGATGCCTGACTTCCTTCCGCTCCTGGAAGACAAAAGCCGTCCTCTTTGTGGAACAGGCAACCTCGTCTCCCTGGCACCACCTCGTCTTTTTTGTCCGTCGGCCGCCGTTCACGCCCAGCTCCCTTTTCCAGTGACTTCAAGGCAGGAATTGAGACGCCCCCTTTTGGGGACGTGGCCCAGCACCATTTAACCAGCGGTGGCCCCTTGGCCCAGCCTGGCCCTCCTCACTGGTCTGTGGGCAGAAGGAGGTGATGGGATACGTAGTCCGATGCATCAAAGTCGGCAGCCTCATCTTTATCTCAGCTGGAGCAGAGGCTGGCCGTTGCCACGCTTATTCTGGAGGCCGGTTAAACAGGGCGGCATAATCTCCGCAGTGATGGCAGGGCTATTATTAGCAAGAGGAGATCCTGAGCACGGCCTCTTTTCCTCCTGCTGGATCCGAGCAAGAGCCACCCAATTTGGGCAGCCGGCAGGGAGGAAGGCAGGCTGGGGGGTGGGTGACGGAGAGGAGGAAAGCCCGTTTTCTGCCCAGCCGGTCCAGGAGGAGCATCGCCCTCCCCCCACCAGGGCCACCCACTCCCTTGTCGTTCTGTCTTTCTTCCCCAGACTCCCAGATGTTTGTCCGGCGCTCCCGATGCTAAGATGGCGAAGGAGAACTCCGCCTTCTCCACCATCCCGGAGGCCCCGGCCTCGGACGCCAAAGGGCCACTCCCGGCCCGCCCGCTCAAGCCCGCCCTTGCCCGCCGCCTGGGCGAGGAGCCCGTGAAGGCGGAGAAGAAGCGGGGGCGCCAGAGGTATGTGGAGAAAGACGGCAAGTGCAACGTCCAGCATGGGAACGTGCGGGAGACCTACCGCTACCTGACGGACATCTTCACCACCCTGGTGGACCTGAAGTGGCGCTTCAGCCTGCTGGTCTTCGTCCTGGCCTACGCCACCACCTGGCTCTTCTTCGGCCTCATCTGGTGGTTCATCGCCTACTGCCGGGGGGACCTGGACCACCTCGGGGACGACGCCTGGACCCCCTGCGTCAACAACCTCAACGGATTCGTCTCCGCTTTCCTCTTCTCCATCGAGACGGAAACCACCATCGGCTACGGGCACCGGGTCATCACCGACAAGTGCCCTGAGGGCATCATCCTCCTCTTGCTCCAAGCCATCCTGGGCTCCATGGTCAATGCCTTCATGGTCGGCTGCATGTTCGTCAAGATCTCCCAGCCCAACAAGCGGGCCGAGACCCTGGTCTTCTCCTCCCACGCGGTGATCTCCCTGCGGGACGACCGCCTGTGCCTCATGTTCCGGGTGGGGGACCTCCGCAACTCCCACATCGTGGAGGCCTCGATCCGGGCCAAGCTCATCAAGTCCAAGCAGACCCAGGAAGGGGAGTTCATCCCCCTCAACCAGACGGACATCAACGTGGGCTTCGAGACGGGCGACGACCGCCTTTTCCTGGTCTCGCCCCTCATCATCAGCCACGAAATCAACGAGCACAGCCCCTTCTGGGAGGTCTCCCGGGAGCAGCTGCGGAAGGACGAGTTCGAGATCGTCGTGATCTTGGAAGGGATGGTGGAGGCCACAGGTAGGTGGGTCGAGCACCCTGGTCGCCCTGGGGGAACACACACCCTGGGGTGCGGCTAACCTCCCTCCCTCCCTGCCTCCCTCCCTCTCTCTCTCTCTCTCTCCTGGGTCGCCAGGATGGCAAAACCTGCATTAAAGTGGACAGGCTGAGTTAGAGGGACAGGCGCACTGCCCACCGCGGTGGCTGTTGTTGACACCCAAATTACAACACACTTTGCAGGCATGGGGAGCTCTGGGCTCGGGGGGTCACCTCTGTGCCAGCTGCCCAGTCCGTGACTGCCTGGGTGTGCCTCCCTGTGGACGATGGGTGGCCTCAAGGCCCCTGCTCCCCTTCCTCTTTCCGGTTCCTCCTCTTGGGCGGGACGGTCTCTCCCAGAAGGGGTCCCCCCCAGAAAGAGGAGGGTCCTCCAAAAGCTGCTCCTGGCGGAGGACTCTGAGGGCACCCCCCAGCCGCCTCCCCCACCCCCCCTCGACCTCTGCCCTTCGCTCCCCTTCCGGGACACCACAGGCTGACGCTCCCACCTCCTGCATCTCTAAACGGTGTCCTTCCCCACAATTACAAAAGTTCATCAAGGAAGGCCACCCTCTCATTTGGGGTGCCCCTCCCTCACCTGCTGTGGAGCAGAGGGCTGCCCGGCTGAGACTGGGTTCGGTTAAGATCAGGTGGGAATGTGTGTATGTGTGGGGGGGAGCGATTCAAGCACGGTGTGGGGGAAGGACCTGGGTGTTGGCATCCATGCTTCCAATCCTCCGATCCAAAATTGCCAAGAGAAAGCGGAGGAGAGACACAGAGAAACAACAAGATGGTGCTTCTGATTTTTTTTGGGGGGGGGGAGGAGGAGGAGGAGTCACCCTGGATCTGAGCTATTTATAGCTGCAATTAATTCTCTCGTGTTCTTGCTGCCTGGGGAGCCGCAGACGGCAACCCAGGGCTCAAGGAGAAAGACAAGAGCCTCTGGCCTGCGCGTTGCCATTAACAGGGCCTCTCCTTGCCCAGAGGCCCTTCCCGGCCTTCTCAAGGGCCCGTGGCCTCAATCAAGGCCCCCTTCG